GCTGCGGTGTCGAAATAACCCTCCCCCCTCCCTCCCTTTTTGCCAGGAAAGGGTAACTTCTGGGTAATATTTTATTTAGGTACATGAATGTTTCATGGCAAAAGGTCCCTATTCCGTAAAAGAACCCCCCACCCCCCATTTTGAAATTGCTGGCTACGGGCCAGGTTGGAAGACTGATGTCCAAACACAAGGCCAATAACCCTCTTGTTATTACACACAGATCTTATTTAAAACAGGATCAAATTTATTCATATGAAATTGCGCGAGACTCCTCCATGTCGTTACCCTGCTCCACAAATCTCCAATTTTTAGCTGAGGATGACTCCCATTACACCATCCTCAGATTGGTTTCTATTCACCTCACTAATGGACAGACTTTTGAAAAAAAAGGTTTGTAGCCTCCCCGACGGGGAATCGAACCCCGGTCTCCCGCGTGACAGGCGGGGATACTCTCCACTATACTATCGAGGAATGACTGGGTAATGTCGGTCATTCAAAGTCCCTGTTTCTGAGAAGCCACTTTTGAGTATTTTTTTTTACAAAACATTCTATTCTCGTGAGATTTACACACTATAGTTGCTGTAACAGTCTTTTTTTTTCGATGTTCGTCAAAATATCTTAGGTCTGCGATTTTTCATCTTTCCAAAATATCATAAAACCTACTGTAGTGTTCGTTCGCAGCTTTTACTCACTTAAATCTCAACGATATTGGTCCATTCCCCTCCATTCACTAAAACTAGGTTTTTTGTGTATTCTAATTTAAGTCCAGAGAACACAGTACGCTACCCTTTTAATCTCATCACCTAACATTTCTTTATTTACTGCCTTACATACAATCTTTTTGGATAACAGATGAATCATCAGCGTGCAGTGACTTAATTAATTAATATTTACACACATGTCATCTTACGGATGGCGTCATAATTGCGATTTGGGGTTAAAAATTGAAAAATCGGTTTCTCAAATTTCTCCTCTACCTGAGCATCGACGAACACCGTCAATTTAATGACAGCATTTAGTACTCCGAAACCCTGTCAGCGATTTTTCTCAAAAGCCTTAGTTCAGATTTTATCGTTGATAAAGCAAAATAATGCCTTTGTTTAATGAAACTCTGTAATTGGGGGCTGACAACTCCCTAACAAAAGCATTGAATCAAAATGACGGCACGGCATTGTAATCCATTGACTTGTGATCAACTATGCCAATTTTCTTGATAAAATCTTGTTCGGATTCAAGTTGCGCCCCATTCCGATATCTATCTCACCTCAAAATAGAGAGGAGTTAGACTAACGATAAAAGCTTAGAGTTGCCTATGCTTATGCATTGCAACGAGATTTTCGAGGGGATTTTTATTGTTTTAGATCAGCACAAAAAATAGACACATTATTGAATAATTAGACGCAGGAAAAACTTCTTATTCGGTATCTGTATGATGATAAAGGCTTACAATATCCTTAACTGGCGACACCACTTTACTCCCCAAAGAAAAGTCCCTTCAGATACCCCATATCTTGGACATAATAATGTCCAAGCCCATATTAACACATTTACCACGGAAGATTCAGGCATACTATCTTTATTTTTCAAAGGGATAATTTTGGCCATAGTTTGACCACATTATTGTCATTTGGCTCTATTGATCTCTTTCACCAAAAAACAATCGCCACACCTGACAGGCCCGTAACCAGCAATTTCAAAAGGGGGGTTCTTTTTCTGAAAAAGTGGACCTTTTCCATAAAAACGTCATGTACCTAGATCAAATTTTACCCAGAGTGGACCTTTTCCCAGCAAAAAGAGCGGTTCTTTATAACCCCCCGACC